AATATATTTGTAATATTTATAATAAACAACAAATATATAATATGTAAATATCTCCGTTTCTATCTGTTTATTTTAAGATTTTATGTTATTTCTTCATGAACATTTCAATTCGGAATAATAATGTATTACAAATATTTATTATGAAAAATATAAATAAAATATATAACTTATACATAAAGGTGAAACTTTATAATAATGGGAAACGCACTCATATGCACATTTCATTGCAATATAGAAGTACTATTGAAGTAATTTCTTTAACCACGTTTCTAAACTAGACTGACAACAGAAATGTCTTGTTAATAAATTAAAATTTTGTAATTTAGAGTAGCACATTTTTTTATAAAATATATTAAAAAGTGTAAAATATATTAAAAAAATTTTATTGCTTTAAATTTGATTCTTTTAAAATTTTTTACCCGCGCATGATTTGTATTCCTCAAAGCCTATGGTATAGGTAATGAATAAGAACGGTGTTTTGAAAGGTCGAATAACTACATTCCATAAATAACATTCTAGTTACTGACATGTTTTCGTTAGATAGAAGTAAAAACTGTGCAAAATAATGCAGCATTACAGCTGTCGTTATCGAATCTCTAACTTCTTCTCTTATATGTCTTCTCTTACATTCAGAATAAAAACATTATTTATATTAATAACGTTATTTATATTAATTTTGTAAAGTAGAATATAACCTTTTGTACAATTTATTCTAATATGTATGAATATTAACACCAAACACAACATAGCATGCAAATTATACATTAGTCGTGAAATGTTAATTTCTAGACAAATTAACATTTCACGACTGATGTTTGTATCATTCTTAATTTTAATACTGCGCAATAAATTCGATACTGATATATGCTGGTAAAGAGCAAATTAGGTAAGAAACATTTCAGCATAGCAAGTAATTTTTTTATAGTACTAGCGTGCAAATTTATTGCACAATATGTAATAAATTATATGAAACGTTCATCTTGAAAATATATACCGGATATTACAAGCAGTATTAAAAAAACTTCGTTGAGTTAGTAAAAGATAGTAATATATTTCCACAAAAAGCAAGAAAATTCAAATTCGATTTCTGATAATTCATTTCCTATTACTTTGTGATTTCAATTTTCTTTTATTATCTTTTATTAATGTAGTTTATATTCATCTCTGCGGTAAAGAGGAAAAACATTTTTAGCTTCTTTAACTTATTTAGCTAATAATAAACTCAAAATTGAAATATCTGGAGAATAATTAATTTAAAAAATTTTGACAACATAATATTGTTAATGTATTATTTTTGGTTATTTTATTAAGTTATAATATTTAACGTCAGTGCAGCTAAAATCATTAAATATTTAACTTAATCTGTTCAGATCTTTTTGAAATAATCAATAACTAATAACGATTTTTATATTTATTTGTATTAATATTTTGTAATAAGAAAATTATCTTAAAATTATCTTAGTTAATGAAATGTTAAATTTTGCGTGATGTAATCGTCCTAATAGCACACTTTGTCCGGGATACATACTGGGGATATCCTTAAGAACATATGGATGTCCTTTAAGGATGTTCTTTGAAGGTTTATGCTGTTGAGATGTCAGTATTCAAGTAGATACCCAGACATCACACATGTCCAAAAGCGTGACGTAGACTATCTTAAAGACATTTTTATGAAAGATGTCTAAAAGACATCTAAAACATTTTTAAGACTTCTTATGTCTTAATTTTGGACTTTGTGTTGTCTGAATTAGTTAATTATAAATATGAAAATAGACAGATTCTGTTAATGACGAAAACAACCGCGGATGAAAGTCATGAAATCAGAAAATCACTGCAGGAACTTACAACATTGCTTTTGACAAACAGGATGATTATTCGGCATATAAAAATCGATCGGACGAATAGCAGAAGTTGTATAAAATTATGATGACAAGTCAAAAAAAAGTTTACAAGACGTGTAACTACATTATCATTCTTATATATGATTTATCATTACTGATCGTCAATACATAGATATACATTATCAAAATTATAATAATAATATTCATGTTTGCTTCTCAAAAAACGCGAAATTTCATATGAGTCATTTTTCATTAATCGCTATCAATTATTCGATTAATCAATGATGTTTCTTCAATATCTTCTGATTGGATCAGAAAATTTTTTTTAACTCTTAGTAGATTATTCGATTATGTGCTTTTAGTATAATTAAATAATGTGTTTATAATAATCTTCTTCGATTATTGGAAATATGATGATCATGTATATTGGAATAATATATTAGCCGAAATCTTACGAAATTGGAAAATCCATCTAGACATCATTACATTTGGCAACAACATTACGTATGAATTTCGTAACAAAAGCTATTGGCAATTACTTTCCAGCATTAAATAATGTTGTAAATTTTAATGATCAATTACTTTAATATTAAGAAATATGATAAGCAAAGTACTATGTTTTATAAGTTTATCCTTATATTGGTATAAATTCATCACAGTACATGTAATGGAACAGGAAACAAAAATATGTTGCCAAAAAATTCTCGCAAATTTTATTCTATACAAAAATTTGATTTAAATTAAATAGAAATTGTAAATTAAATAGAAATGTCTAAAATTTCCAATAATAACATTAGCAAACTCGAATACTTCCAATTATAAGGTTGCAAAAAGTAAGAAATTTATCAAATTTTATACACAAATGTGTAACATAATTAATCTGATAATCTGAGATTTGTTTAACACATGTCATGTAATACATATCTCTCGACAAAAACAATCGTTAATTTGCGATATCTAACAAAAATAAATTTACGGAAACCCTTGACCGCGATTTGACAGATTGCCAAAAGGATAAATGTTTACTTAAACATGGCCGAGTGTGAATCATCCAAACCGACATCGCAAATTTCAATAAAATCATTACGTTCTATCCGCGTGATATGTCTCTCATCCAAGAAAAACTTTGCTAAATGTAAACTTTGTAAACGCGGTATACTTTCGTAAAGAATCGTATCATTTTGCACAAGTACCGTTCACGACCGCAAAACAAGTAAGTTCAACTATAAAAGCGCGCACATCGAACAACGAGTAGGACGGTGCAATTAATGGCGTGGGCCGTGGTCGATCGTGCAATTAACTTTAACGAACGGGCGGCCTTGCGATTAAACTTAATTAGTATCGCAGTAATAACTCGTTAATAATCAGAACCGTGTACAGAATCATGGCTTTGTGTGTGCATCAACGTGCACGTGCACGAACGCGCATCGTCGTTCTCCAAGCAAGTATCTACAAAAGACACTTGCGTACATGTATATAATATGTATATATGAGTTATATTGTTCATGTGTATTTGTTATGCGTTTAGAAGTGTGTATGTATAGGTGGATCTCATATTTACGCGACGACTACACGACGTGACAAGAAGAACGACGCTACACAATTTCGACGATGGAGAAACGGAATATTGACTAGAAAGACAGCAATGGTTTCCGTAGAACATAAACTAACAGTAATATTACTTCAATATTAATTTCGCACTCAACAGTATAAATGTAATATAACACATGTTGTACATAACAGGTACAGTGTTGAGTAGAAAATTATAATATTTATTTAATGTTACTGACGTTACTGTTAGTTTGTGTTCCGTGGATTTCAGCAAGAATCGTCAAGCTCACAAAAAACAAGAAACGCCAATCTCATAAGGAACAAAGAAATAAAAAAACGCCAATAAGTGCATATTTAACACCAATCAGAAAAAATTAGAGATTAGAAAAGAAATAAAAGCGGTACC